GTTCCCCTACTTATATTTACAATATACTTATATTTACAAATAAAAAGGTTTAGATGTGCTTCATTGTAGACTGAGAGAATTGTGTATCATTCGTGTAAAGTAAATGATTATCCAATTTGGGTCGACTAGGGAATTGATTACTAGATGGACGGGAGTCCAGTAGTCAAGGGAGCATCGACAGATTCTAGTTGACCCAAATTGGATAATCATTTACACGAATTAGACACAATTCTCTAAGTCCATAATGGAGCGCCTTAAAGAACTCATCGTTGAAGATGGTTAAAACCTTTAACCAAAACGTCCGGAACTTGTAATCAAGAATTGTATTTGAACAATTATATTAGATCGACACGCCTAATAACCGCGTTTGACTCTCACAGCCTAAATCCTTTTCGCTTGTACTTTTAATTTCGACAGTCACTTGCTAATTTTATATTTTTATACTTATATTTCTTTCTTACTTTCGCGAATACTCACCGAGATTGCCGTTTTTCCCTAACTGACCGCCTAATCCCGCACCAGCGTGTGCACCCCACGGAGTTCCTGCACCTGCATAAAGGCCAGCACCCGTGCCTCGTAGAAGGCCGCCCAGTCCTGCTTCAGCATGGTAACCTCCGAAGTTCAGTCGAATCCCCCCGTCAGTAAATTGGATTAATGGAGGCTACGTGAAGTGAAAATTGAAAGTTAAATTCACTTATCAAAACTAATACCTGACGTTAGCGAGAGAGATCACGTTATGTAAACAGCTTCTTGCGAGTTTGCATCTCACGTACTTATCTCTGTTCTTGTATGTTCCGTATCTAGATTGCCGATGACAGTGCAATTGCAATTACATTCCCGTGCCTTCTCTACTGCAAGATATAAAAGTCGGCTCTTTCCACGACTGTGCACGCGAGTTTCATCAATTGCAGACGTTCCGGATAATTTCGAGACTAGTGTCCGTGACCGTTGCGCGATACAACAATTTTCCTTAATTATTTTTTTCACGCTATGCAAACGAACCCCGAAAAAGACAGTATCCTGCAAGTTCCAGGTAAGAAATTTGCTGCGTCGCCATTGAGATTGGCCTAGTGTGCATTAACTGAATTTACATTCACTTCTACGTTGTAAAGATTATTTCAAGGTGGGCGAGATATGTTAAAAAAATGTAATGACGCGATAACAAATGAATACCAGATTATTTCCGAGTAGTGTGGAATGTTTTTTAATGACAATGGTGATATTATCACGCAAAAATAATTTATGTTTCCAGCATGCTGAAGATTTACGATAAGCGTTATAATTATAGTTGAATTCTGTACTTCCTTTACTTTGATCGCTTTGCTGCCGGCAAAGTGAACTACATATTGCACGAAGCTTGCAGTCCGTGAGCCATCTTGGTTTTTACCTTCCAATCTTATGAATAAAGAACGTAATTCTGTTGTTTCCGTAGTTTTTTTCTATTAAATTGTAGTTTTTGTATTTTTTAAATCGACTTGACGTATTCTTTTCGCTTTAGCTCATTGTGATTGTCTTACAGCTTTTTGAAACAACATTTATGTTTGATAATCGACTAATTAAACAACATAACAATTAAGTTTTATGCAACCTCCTATCGTTTCCGCGATCCTTTCTCTCTGCAAGAGAGTTCGATTATCTAACCAGCTTAAGGTGTAACTTTCCGAAGCAACCGACTTACGTAGAATCAGTTCTTTTGGAACAAAACGTCAATGAGTTTTTTCTAAGCCTAATAACTATCCATGATGACGTCAAAGTACTATAAATACGTAGAATCGAGATCGTGCTCGCTATTATCGGTTTGTAATTAGATGGATTGAATCAGAATGCGGTATTTCCTGTGTGCGTCATGTCAACGTGTTTACCGTAAAACCATATACTTAACATTGTAAAATTACCATTACTGTGCACTAAATACATAAAAATATTTGAGTTCTTCGTTTGTTTGAGTGCTTTGTTCTTAATGCTTTGCGCTAAATATGTAGAAGTATTTGAGCTCTTTGTTTGTTGAGTGCTTCGTTCTCCATGCTTTTTAAAATGCGTTTTATCATGTCCATTATTAGCGTATGAATATTTTACGTAATTGACTGGCTTGGATGCAGGGAATATATATGCTCATATTCAGTTTCTCGTTTCATCATCTGCGGCTGGAAACGTGCGTAATAATACCTTTCTCGTTCCATTCTATACGTTGCTCTAGCAACGTAACATATTTTCGTAACGCGTATACTTTTTCATATTATTTCGTAATCAAGGCGAGCACCAAATCGCATCTTAATTTAGCTTCTTGTGCTATTTTATTTTTACACAAAGTTGATTTAGCTTCAACGTAATTTTATACTGATACAAGATATAATCTGATATAAGATAAACTTAATTAGTGTCTTATATCATTTTAATATAAGATAAATAATGCGTTATTTTAATAAATAACTGTATACAATTGTATATTAAAACTAATACTGTCAATGCATTTTAATAAATTTATTAAAATGCATTGACAGTATTATTACATAAATCATGTTATAAATTGCTTGCTTCAACAGATGAAACTTCAATAGGTGAGAAGTCAACTTTCACGCATCAGAGAAAATTAAGGAACCTTGTCAATGGTAACAACAAACCATGTAACAAAAGTAAAAATGTTCTACTCACTGATTCGTATTTTTCTTCATGTGGCCTTCCATTTACTAAAACTACAAAAGTTACAAATAGGTAGTTAACTACTACACCGAACGACATCTTCGCGTTTACTGACGGAGGATTGAGACCAGCAGGCAGGTGGTAGGCAGTGATTTCTCAGTCTCACTGGAGGATTTCTTAGTCACCTTTTACTGGAAGGGATAAGCACGACGAGATCCGTATTCGTTCGGCGAATTGCGTATTCGTATATAGCACATTACAAAAATGGTGCAGAGTCCAAATAATTTATTGCGTCAATGTCTCTGGGAATATTGATACGTAAAGATGACTAATGCGTTTTTTGTACAAGCGAATTAATGCAAGTTTGGAGGAAAAAAGTTGATGGGATAAAACTTCTTGTGCAGAAGATATTATTTTACAACATCAATGATTTTTATTGACCATATCTGGCAATTAAAATTCTTATTGCGAAAAAAATTACCCCAACCAGGATATTTTTTGCAATAAGAATTTTAATTGCCAGATACGGTCAATAAAAATCATTGATGATGTTAATTACTGCTGGCGACTTTTAAGAGTATTCTTAATAGTATATTATTTTACATTAAAAGTAGTTTAACACAGTTTTTTCTTTGGTCATTTTTATATTAAAGCATTCAGGTATCTGCGTAATTATCATTATCAGTGTTCAAAAGTATTGTGTCTGGTATTTAGAACGTAATTTATAACAAAAGCTTCTTTCTATCGTACATTTAAATACCCCAGTTTGTTTTATCGAAAGCTTTTGTTTTTATACCTAAGAAAATTACCTTTATCATTGTCTGCGCACAGACGATACTGGAAATTAGAATTTTTGTTACGATGCAAAACTTAAGACTTAAGCAAACGTTATAATCTATTAAATTGTGTCAAAACGAATGATAAAAAAAACAACATATTTTCAACTGTGTTCGCATATTGCAAGTTAATTTGGCTATATTAATATTAATTTTACTCCAATACATTGGAGTAGACAGCTATACTTTAATAAACATGAAATTTATAAGCCATATTTGAAAGATACAGTTAAAAAATAAAATAAATACAAAAAGAATTGTATATACCCAGCGACGTTTATGAAGACTTGCGACACGAGTCTTGCATTACGACGCAGAAGTGGAATGACTGGTCGAAGGTCAAGGGTTTCACATGTTGCGCGAATATGTATATTTCACTAACAACAGGTGGCGTTTATATCATTTAGGATTTCTAATGAGACATTGTTTCTTCGCGACAGTAAATCTGAATATAAAGATTGCGTTAGTATGTATATGCTGAATACATTACGTTATGTGTGCGGTTGTGGTCAAAAAAGTTGTCCGATGTTTTACAATAGGTAAGTTTTCGAAATATTCGTATGTATCATAGCATAGATATATTCGTACATATTATTTCTTTGTTCTAATAATGCGTCACTGCACATATCCGCGATAGCAAAAGCTATAATTTCTCGCATGATAGACTGTATTTCCGGAATTGATCATAAAACTGGACAACCTTTTTGACCACGATTGTACATATCATCCAGGTTCATTCGCATTTATCGATAAGTACTCTCGAAAAAGTTCTTGCAATTCCATTAGGAAACATCATAATAGCGTTTTTCAATCTTTTTTTTCGCCACATTCATATGAAAACCGTCATCTGATTATTAAACAAGGTAAAGATTTATGCATTCCTGATATTACATATGAATCATTACTTACAAATGCTTGAATTGTTTTGCGCAATTTATTCTGTGAACAATCAATATGTATTATATCTTGATGGTAAAAAAAGGATGAAGAGTTTTGTTTTTTTTCCTAATACCCAGTCAGAAATGACTGGAAAACCGACGTCGAAACGATATCGAATCGATGCATTGAACATTATCTAAAGATTAATTTTTTTTACAGAAAATTAGTAAGTACATTTTATGGTTTAAATAAATTTAAATAAAAGAAAAAGAATGAAAACTTTAAAGTAAAAAATATAAAAGAATTTAATGTAATGTATAAATAGATTATAATTTTTTAAATTTAAAGAAGAACTAATTACTTCTGTCTACACAATGTTACATTAATAATTATATAGGATTATTGTATTTTATTTTAATTATATAGGATTACATCATTTTAACTATATAAAATATGAAGCATGTGATATAACAGATTGAAGTAAGTATAACGTTTTAGGTATTGTTAGAGATAATTGCTTGAATAGCACAGATGATTATTATAAATTCAAAAAATATTAATTTTGTAAACTTTTTGTAAATTATCGTTATTTGTTGAACCTCCAAAAGAATTATTTTTTGGTGTTAAATCTTGTTATAAAATTAAAAAATTTTTTTGTAAGAAAAGAACTTAGAATTGGTGACATAAAAGCGAATTCTTTATGAACTCTTAAGAATGTAGAGCAGAAATAATATGGAGAAAGAATTTATTTCATAATTTGAGAATTCAAAAAGAATTGTTTTTGTCTTCTCTGCGAATACTACAGAAAATATGAAATATGCAGAGCGATCTAATATTCATGATTAATACTTTTAATCAAGACTAAAAAGTTTACATTATTTCATTATTTCGTATTCACGTTATGACACAAATGCTACTCTCCCGTTTCTCGGAGCAATTTTATTTTCCAATGGCGGATCACGGTATTCGTGCAACGGCTCATTTTTGATCTTGGAAGCTTTCTGTCTCTTCTCTTTAGGAGCGACTTTGTTCTCAATTTTGGTAGAGGTGCTAGAAGGTCGTGTTCCGGACAAAGTGCCGATTCCAGCGGTCACACCGTGCCAGGAAAAAGATGTATCTTCGTTAACATCTTCATGGACCTCATAGGTATGTTGCGGGCGATTTCCCAAATGTCCCCCTTTGGCAAGCAATATGCAAACAATATGTTTACTTCTGGCTCATGTAACATTATTAACATTTACATTTTACATTACATTACTTATTTATTTCTATTACGAATATCCTGCTCACTAGCTTTCAGAAATAATATATTTCTTTCCCTTCAAAATACGAGTTAGCGAAAATAGTCACCATGATGACCGTGAAGACCATGGCCAATTTTATGGCCTCTGTGATGCCCGTGGTTGCCACTCAATCCGGAATGCCCGCCGAAAAGTCCGCCAGCGTGGTGTCCAATCAGAAGATCGCTCAACGCGTTTAATCCAAGCGGGTCACTGTAATGTCTAACAGGTCTCGTCAATTGCTGCTGCAATCGATGGTTTTGAATTTCCTCTTTTCGCTTTCTTTTCTGCTCCTTCATAGCCAAGATCCGTTCTCTCCTCTCTAGACGAGCTTGATTATTTTCCGAATTTCGTAGACTTTGCTCCCTTGTAGTTTTCACGAGTGTACCGACAGCTTCTAGTGTTGAGACGGGGATCTGTATATAATTTTCTTGATTATAGAAGATAAGTAAGTTTTGAGTTTGATAAATACGAGAAATTTTACGTATATGTGAAATACGTACCTTAAAAATATTGTTTATTGCCTGCGTATTTTCTGGCGAAAGAATTTGGGCGGCGGAGGCAGTTTGTCTAATTGCTGTGATCGGAATCTGCAAAATAAAAGTTCATAGAGTAAATGTTTAATTCGGTAACAGCGAATATTTCTTCCTTTCTTCATTTTTAAAGCTTATAAAGCTTTAATGAAGAAATTTTATACTTACGTTCCTTGTTCGATAATGAAATATTTAAGTATTAAATAGTAAAGCGTTGCTACACAATGCTTACGTTAAAGATGTCATCTATTAGCTGACCATTCTGTGCTTCTCGTCGTATTCTGTTTCCCGAAACGGCCTGAAATATAAAAGATGCTATAATCTCTCTTCCTTATGCGACAACGGAAAAATACTGCGAACAAGTTATTCCTGTTCTTTGCATATAAAGTAACAAAGTGAAAACTATGCGTAGACTGCATTGAAATCTCTTCCATGAGATATCTCTGTATGATAAATATAGCCCACGCTTAATCTGCTATCGTGGATGAGTATATAGGTCCACACGTTACACGCAAATGCGGGTCCAATATCTAATGTTTATCGCAGCTTTCACTTTGTGCGAATTAAAAATCTTCGCCAATTATTGGAAAGGTTAATTGACGCTACCGCGAGTCTCTACGCTCAGTTCTTAAGAGTTAGAATAGTTAGATAAACTATATAATCTATTAAAATATGAGAAATCTTTTCGTGGAAGCTTTTATGCAAGATAAATTTCAATTTTGAATCGTGAAAATAAGCAGAAACTGTAATAATACTATTAAAAATCGTATTTCTCGAAGTGGTAAAAATAATATTGGAACTTTAGTGACTATTGAAGCAATACTGTACAGAGAATTGAAACCCTATTTGTAAAATTTAGACGCTAAGAGAGGTATTAAGCTTGTCATTTCCAATCTTTCAAATTGCATGGCTTACATAAAAATATTCTGTAGCATTAAAATTTGCTCTTTTTATTTAGTGTATTTTTTATTAAAGTAACTTACGCCGTACGTGCCGCCGAGTAGCAGAAGAAAACTCAGAAATCCGCAACACCAAAACATCCTTTCGGCACTTTTCGAAGTAAATCGCGTGCTTATGGCTCCTGCGAGTTTCAACACAACTCGACGCAGGTACGATTGGAATTATGTATCCGCTTCGTCGATCTATAAGGGCTGTCGCAAAATCCCACACGAATCGTCGACCAATCCGGACCTGCGGATTCGCGCCAATTTCTTCAGACGAGAAGAAGGTGCTTTCTACTTATTACAATCGTGCCACATCGGTTGCCGAATCTTTTCATCCTCTTTCACACCAGCCGACTGTGCTCAAATAAATTATTCACTCCTTTTTCTTTATCTTACACTCTTAAAATTTCGGCGTGGCCAAGAGCTGAAAACGGTTGTGTAAGTCGGTAGATATATCGGAGATATATCTGACGATGAACATTCACCCATGATGTAATCGCTCGCAGAGCTGGGGCCTTTCTGTCCTAATTTCGGCAATCTATTCTATTCAACGTTGTAATTTGATGAATGGGTCAAAGTCTTTGAAAATAACCCAGCCGAAAGAAGCAGAAACTATCTTTGTCATTATTATTACATTGGCACATTCAATTTAGGGAAGAATTATTTAATAAAAATGACAATGTACAAATGAAGAAATATCATATATGCATTTTATTTGCGTATTATATTTAATAAATGCATTTACAATGACATGTGCAATGAATTTGAATGAAGAGAAGCATAAATATATTTGCATAAATCTATTTCTTCTACTTGAAAATTGAGCTATAAATAATTATATAAATATTTAGGAAAATGTAGATATCTCTCATTAAAAATTTAAATATTATTTTCAGAGACTAACAGAAGTCTTTAGTTAAATTAAAAAACACTATATTATATACAGTTCGGAACTTTTTTTCTTGATATTCAATTCATTGTCTATTTAATTCTTCTTCACTCTCTTCGCTTTAAAAAGCGTTTGGGTTATCCTGCAGAAATCTGCCTACTTCATTCCCGAGATTCTTTTGAAATTCCTTTACATTCATCTCTGATTGCTGAAAGACCAATTTATTGAGATTATAATCAAATTATTAAACAACAGTTCAATAAACTTTGTTCAAAGAGAAATAATGAAAATAAAAACGGAAAAGAAGGAAACGAATATAACAAAGACTCACATTCATGGCATCCTGCCATTCGATATTGAATAGCCTCACTAAACCACGAACATTTCTCAAAATTAAATTTTGCAGATTGGTTGGCGTAAGTCTGAAAGGTGCCTGCGTGGTCGTAGTTGCGTTAACACCTGCCATACCGCTGGACGTATTATTTTGACCAATCGATGGTGCGATTGTTGTCGTATCGACCACCAACGGATGATTACTCGCTGACCGTCGTGTAGTCGGATCCGGTTCAATGTTCTGACTAATGATATTACTAATTTGTTTAATCGCCGATCGCGTGTCGTTGAATGTCTGAAATGGAATGGAACATCAGTCGACCATAAGGAAACTTCCACTTTCTCTTGCGACTTAAGGGGATTTTAAAGCCGTCTGTAATACCGACAGAATCATATACAATTTTTGTAAATCTTTTTATTTCGAGCGCGAACCACACAGTATAGAACATTGTCATATTTAAAATGCCGAGTTCGAAAGTACTAATTAAAAGAAAATTTATATCTGGAAATTTCACTTTTTATAAAATTTTATTTTAGGATATCTTTTTTCTAGACTTCTTTTCTAATCTTAATCCCAGTTGCAGAATATTGTTTTTGCATAATGTCTCTAGGGTAGAGGATCCTTACTTTGTACATGTAACATATGTGACTTTTTATATTAAGCAAATATTGCCGTCAGGTGACAGTTCTATGTGCCGAAAATAAGTGAGATTTACCTTTCATCTTTATACGCATTTTATCGTATGCAAGAATTTTGCAATTTTATAAAGCTACTTCAAAGAGTATAGTCACAATAAAAAGATGTCGGCAGAACAGACGGCTTTAGGATCTCTGTTTTCAATATTATCAATAAGGAAAAATCAAATTAGTCAATGCCTGTTGAAAATTAATTATTCACTCCGAGACTCCGAGATATCGTATCCGAGATATTCTCTAAGTATTTTCATGATTCTGACATTTTAATAATGTTTAATAACATTCTTATAATCAAGTTTCAAATATACCTATACATATAATAAATAATGTACATATAATAAAAATTAGTATTAATATATTACATTAAAAAAGACTAGAATAAAACTTACTAATTTTTATTTAAAAGCTTTTTAAATGTTACGTTACGTTTGAAAAGCATTAGTGACGAAACGTATTGTACTTTATAATATTATCCTGACCTCAAAAGCAAGTTTCGCCAGAGTCCAGAAGAATCCCGGCCGATACTTGCGAACTTGTCTGACAACTCTCTTCGTCTCTTCAGAGAGGTTTATTTCCGCGATGATTCCATCTTCAACTGTGTTCTTCTCGACGTCATTCTCAACAGTATCTTCGGATAAAATTTTGTCTAACATATTCATTTTCTTCATTATTTCCTTGTCTATTTCTCCAATCTCTTTGCGCTCTAATCGCGCAGCACTTTCTTCCTTCGGAGTCCGTTCATTTCCAACAAATTGAGAATAATAATACGGTTTGTCTACTTCTCTAAGGTATTCTGGGATGGATTTGGTCACATTTAGTTTCACTTCGTCTTCAGAATGACGATCCTTCGAAGCTATTCCAGACTGTACTGAATTATATTTAGGATAATGAATGTTGTACTGCGGAGGTTTTGGGACATTAGGTAACTGTTCTTCCAAAGAAACTGATTCTGGCTGTATTGGTCGAAATTGGTAATGCACGGGATCGTTGGCTTCGTGAGGGATCCAATCTGATCTTTCAGCTCTGCTATAAAATGGAATTATCAGGAACAGCCAACTGGCTGCAATGGAATTAACTGATGATATGTACATCTGTAACGAAAAATATTTGTAGGATTAGAAACACATATCAGAGAGAAAAGTCTTCAGAAAAATGTAAAAAGAATATTTATAGAAATATTTGCGAGAATAGAAGTTAATTGTTTAATTGAATAATATACTATCTATGTGTCAAATATTAATACAACATAACAAAAATTAATTATTACATATATGTATATTAAATATTACGCATATTACGTATAAAGTATGTCTTAACATGGAGTACGTCTAAAACTGTATTTCACGATTTCACGGGACCGAAGAAACATCATGCAGTGAGAGTTGAATGATGACTGTGATGAGAATTAGTAGTTATTACGTAAATCGACTATTATCAGAAAGTATCCGACGAAGTAAAACCACAACAGGAAAATCGTCGATTATAGTGTCAGGAACGAAACGCTCGTAACTTTTACGATTCATTAATCTTCAGTAAATCAATTATGTAACTTGTAATATTTATTGATAAAATATACCCCAGTGCTCGTAATTTGGTAATATTAACTTATTGACTTATTAAATTAAAATAATCTAACGGCATCTGCTCATAACAGCAATAAATTTATACTTGTTGACTTACGTTGATAGCAATGGCTTTTAAATCCAGATACACGTTCTAAAATATTTCTTCTTTTTAAGCGCACATACATTTCTTAAAGAGTCATTCAATCACAGCATTCTACCTTCTTCAACAGCCACACGCTAACTGTTTTAGAATGTCTCTCGAAACGATATTAATTTCAAATCTTTACGCAAGAATTTCGATTCCGAAACCTTTTCCGTTGGATAGTCTATGCGTCACTCGTGGTTTGCGGCAACAAAACGGCAGTTTCTGTCACTCCTTCACGCACGATCGTTCGGAAAATTGCTTCCCTTCGGTCTAACACGGCGATCACGACTGTTGCTGCTTAACGATCGCCGTTAATCGAACCTGACTACCGGCGATTCGCTCTCGCGAGGATCGCTTGAAGATTTCGACGATCCATTTCGACTTCCTCACAGTACGTGACACAAACGCGTAACGCGTGCACCGAATTAATGGTGGATCTTTTTGTACGTGTGTGGCGAACAATGAAGCCCGATGAATATCCGATGTTTCAACACTGTTGAAAATTCGGACTCCCTGCAGTGTTTCACTTTACAGGCCGATAGATACTTTGGCAGCAACAAGTTGCGGAAAGTACGAGATATTCGTGAAAAATTATTAGTTAATTATTTGAGACTTTGTGTGGCCACTCGTCAATAAATGCTGGAATATAACGTTTTAATATTCACGTTAGTAACGACATGATTATTGAATAATCAACTGACAATGAGAGTGGCTGATTACGTCGCGGCAATCTCTGAAGCGATTGTGCCGCAGCATTTTGAACTACACATGCAATACGGGCCCACGTAAAGTCGTAAGACTTTCTACTTCCATGAAGTATAATATATCGTACGAAGATTTCTATCGATTGCGAAAATACAGTCGTACGTGAAACGATTTAAGTGGATCACTTATATCGTGCTCGGTCAGTCGCCTTATTGGGCACAACCGAGTTTTAACGAACCACGTGCTATTTTTAGATGCTACGAATTTCACCTTCTTCGTATTCTATAATCCTCTTCTTTGTATGAAGGTACGACGTAGAGAAACCAAGGAACGTGAATTTTATTTTATATTTTATCTGAAAGAGGCATCACGATTTTGGAGTTGATTAGAAATACCCGGTGCAAAATCTACAATCTTAACTTTCATATTCCCAATATTATAAATTGTAACATCAAGCTTTAGCGAACGAGAAGTTTCTTTAAAATAAAGCTTATCGGAGATTAACCGAAGAGCATGATCTTTTCATAAAGTTTTGTTTGCAAAATGTCTTGGCTCTATAAAAGTGGTTTATGCACTGGCACGTTTACCAGAGAGAAAACAAGCACAAACTTATTATAATGTAATTAAAATTAAAGCCGCGAGCTATGAAACACGTTGCACATAGACACTGATAACAATTATTTCGATTTTTATCATGAATTTCTACTTTTTATCTGGCACATAAAGACTGATCGGTTAGTAGACTTCTTTTTATCACAGTTTCACGACATTAGGACACCAAAAATTGCCACGACAAATGATTATTGGCCTCGCCATCCTAGCCGGAGATCAGTAACCGCGGTACTTAGCCGTCCTTGCCTTCGAAAACCTGTCTGAGGTTCAGGTCCACGTGGACTACAGTAGGAAACGACTTCCATCTTTCACTTTCACTCTTCGTAATCACACACGTAATACAGATCGGTTCCGTTACGTGACAGTATGTATTATTTATTGTAACAGTGTGAGTTCAAGTAAAGTTTAGGTAAGTAATGCATCACTATCATGCGTACAATCTTTTCCTTTACAATTTTTTTGCATTAATTATTAAAAAATATTTAACAAATTGTCTCTTTGCACTTTAATAAAAAAAAACAAAGAAAGATATCTGTCAAATTAGTTGAAACTTTCAAGAAGTTTAAAATCTTCTAGTAAAATGCGCAAATGCAAAATAGCGAATGCCGCGTGATTACATTTTTTTAAGTGACTTTAGATATTTAAGCCGGTTTCGTTGATACGTTAAATTTTGACATGCTCTGATTACTAGGTTCGTTTACCGTTTATACACGTATACATACTAATAATAAAAGACACAAATTCGTTCACACTGAAAAGTTCCTACGCTATGCAAATAAACTCAGATTATTATTACACAAAAGTTTGATAATAAAATTTTGCATAAAATTTTCTTTTGCACAGCGTAAAGAAAAAGTATTGCAAAAATTACGAAAAATGTTATATGTTATTTATATTTAGCAATCGACAAAATATATTGTGCGACGCGGTGAGAAAATAATTGTACTTGAGTGTCAGATGTTTTCATTGTGAATTTGTTCGGTCTGACACACAAAATTGAAGATGGGTGAAATTTCACGTGGTCATATACGTAACGTACGTCTCTGTACATATAAGTACATCTTTCTATGCACCTTATATAACAAGATGTCAGTACTTATTTGGTATGTGTCTCTACGTATGTCAATACCTATTTATCGCTTTGCCCACCTAGGCCTCTACTTATTTACTGTCTGTATTTGTAACGCAATTTTGGTGTAATGCGGCATAACAAAAGACAAAACTTGGTTAAGTAGTTACTTGCAGTTGAATTATTTTTACTTTTTTATTACGTGTTTGATAAGGAAATATTATAACTTATATTGCAATAAAATAATTACTTGCAATATAAAAAGATTTCCTGTAGAGTCTGTATTGCATTTCAAGTGCTGCTTAAAGTTACAATTTAGAATAATGAATTTAAAATTAGGCGAGTAAAGTGGCAAGTACCTGACCGTAACGGAAGAGAATACTCTTGTGAGATAAATCATCACAGCTAATTATAACTAATGGTTATTTCGCAGACGAGATGTGTGAAGATACTCTTATTGTATATTGATAAATTACTGCATTACAAGTCACAGTAGCGCATAAACTATGCCTACATGTTAAAGACCTTTCTATAAAAACTCGTCCTTGACCGGACACCTGGTAGCTTGTATTTTAGATTATATTAATAGACAATAGGATTTTGAAATATTTACTTAATGCAGATACTAAACAATTACATTTATAGAAATGTAGTAGAAAAACTGTTTATCCATAATTTAAAAGTGGAATTTAACCACACTGTCGTAAAAGAATACTTATTCCTTTATAATGACTACAAGAGATTTTATAAACTTTATAGTTGATTTTGACCAATATACTTTGAATTCGAAGAAGAGTCGTGCATTTTCCAACTATAGACGTTTTGATTTTAGTTCAAGTTTATCTCGAATAAAATCTATCTTCGATTAAGCAAAAGCTTATGAAAGTCATTCTGCAAAACTGTTATTATGTTACGTTGTATTATTGCAATAATTATTCTTTTCTACATATGGCGACACAGTTATTGCAGGCAACGCTGTTATTTGAGCAAATTATTCGATAATATCACTGTTTGATCGAATGTTGTTCCTACTTATGAAACCTTCATAAAAAGTGATTAGATCTAGTACTTTAAAGTAAACTTACAATTTTATTTCTCAAGAACACACCTCAGAGATGCGAACTTCACGACGTCAATGGTTAACTGATTACTCACGTTTGCTATACCCATATTACACAGAAATGCAAGATATAAAAACCTAACGTGCAATGTGTTTCACACGCAAGCGCGTGTAAGCGTACTTATACATTGCGTGATAAGTATATTAGACAATCTGTTCTGTGGGTCTTATCTCACTTATTTTACGAGGATGAAGCAATATTTCCGTTTGCAAATAGGCGAAAAGAAACAAAACCACGTTTGTCTACATTAATAAATCATAAGGCGTAGAAACTAATTCCGGTTTCACAAGTTTTTATACAGAAACTGTTAATTTGTAACTCGAAGAATTTCTTAAAAAAATAGTAATTTGTATTGGATAAAAATGATATCTTAATTCTATTTGAATTCTAATTTAAATGCAGTTTGATTTTCAATACACAAAGATATAATATATTTATAAACATACAAGGTAAATCTATCTTACCTTCCTGTTGAATAAGATATCTTTCGCAGGAGATTGTTATTTCCTCCGTACTATTATTATATCACACTGCTTATATATTATATATATATATATATATATATGTTCGTGTCGCGTTCTCTCGCGTCATCTAAGCTAAGCGCAATAAAGTGAAAATAAGTGCATCTTGCCGGATGGCGGAGCTAGTACTACTGACAAGATGAGTTCTCTCCGTCTCTCGATACCTCGAATAGGCCTCGAAGGTCGTCAACATTTTTACGTCTTACGTGTTCTCCGGGTAAACGGAACAAATCGATGAAATTCTTCGGCAGTCCCGCTATTACACGGATAAACTGTCGTAAGGGATTTTCGATGTAACGATGCACACTTTTAATGCTGTCATATTGATAATTGGACAATTTTCGTAATTAAATAATTAAATAATACTTATGAATATTTAAATGTCAACATTTTTGTTTAGATTATTTTTCTATTGAGATTTTGTATGTTTAGATATTTTAATATATTTAAATTTCTTTATATTTTTATATTATAATCAACAATTCTTAAATTCTTGGCCAATTTTATGTTTAATTTGATACAAGATTACTTAAAAATAACTGTGGTATAAATTACAATAAATAAAATTAATTAAGACGTACTGGCTGTGTGTATATGACACCTTTCTTGTAGAACGCATGTTGCGTAAATTATGTACGTGTTGCATCGATTATTTATTTAAATTGAATAAATTATTTAAATTTTATTTAACTGCGTCGCATTTAAAGCTACTTGTTTTTGTTAAAATCCTTGAATCGCGAACCTACTTTCTTCTTTGTTTACGACATATGTCGCAATTGTAATTTCTTGAACTTTGTACATTGCGGTTTATTTTCGCACTATTCTGCACGTCCCTCATTAATCTACTCGTGAAAAGGATAAACGTGCAACAGGTCGCTGATCTAAGAATTACGTAAAATGCTTTTGCATTCGGTCTGATGTCACCACATACAACGCATGTTCATATAAAAGTCTAAAGCGACATAATCATCAGACGCAGGGTTTGTTCTACATAATTTAATTTTATTAAATTTTATTTGGTGGTTACTTAGTACTCCAATGCCTCACAACAACGCAGTACAAATAATATTTCAAGTAACATTTTAATTTAAGGAAATAAATCGTTATTTCCTCGATAATAGTATCATTATTGCTTAACATACATATGAGGAACGTACGCCTTACAAAACGTTACATGCTTCAGGCGTCCTCGCTATGTGAACAGCAAATTGTTACATGGTCGAGTCGTCGTTGCCACTAGATGTGACACTCTGACCACTTGGTTTTGTATTTAATAATGTGCAGGATTTTCTAGATAAGTCATTAAATAATATCATGCAATACACTTATTAATGCGAGATTTTTATGCGATCGGCTTGCGTAATAAAATAGTATTGATAAATAAGAAGCTGTCGTCTTGTCACACGATCACTCCCAAGTAATATTACCATAACATAAAAAAATAATGTATTTTCTTATTTATGTGAATTATTATGGCAATATATTAAGTTAGCAGCTAATAAATAAGAAATATTACAAAGATGTTTTTGATTAAGAATAATTGTAAGATAAAATAGAGCTAGCTTTATATATAAGACATAAGTCAGTTTGATTGTCGCTCTTTCCTAGTTTATTATTTTATGTGTCGTGTTTCGTAACACGCTAATTAATTTAAATATGACTAAATCGTTTCTAAAATAATATTTGCTTGTATGCGCACGTACTTATATAAATAACTATTTTCTAATAGTAATATATACGCTTTCAGTCAAGAAAAACGTATGCTCGACTTACGACGCCAATTTTCGAGTCATTAAAAAAATTAATAAAGCAACCAACAAGTATGCAAAATTAGTAGATGAAATATTATATGAGGCAAAAATATGGCGTCATAAGTAACGATTATCTGACAACGACAGCGAAGAAATCTCCGCAAATGTTACAATCCTATCTTATCAGAATCTCGGATCTATTCTACGTTCAACAGAACTTTGGAACAACTTTCACAAGTTCTAATCAACAATATCTATCCAGATAAACATGTGATCCAAACTTGTGGAACGTTTCGTAACGAGAAACGGCGATCGTTGAGCAATTAGTTCGTACTGGTGCGAATGCAAAACAGAAATGGAACTCTTTATTTGGGGTTATCCGACGGTAGACCCTTTATGGCGAATGTACCACGGAAAAACGGCTTGAAGATTTCTAACAATGTCTGCGTTCGACGGGCTGAGTTCTGAAAAATGGAAATAATTATTTAGAGACTATAGTTTCGCTTCTATCGAAAATGGATAAATCGCTTTTCGTTCCTTTTTAGCGGATACAATCAAGCATAAGTGAAGGGCGACTCGAGCATGTCAATCGATTACGCTGTACTAGAAAAAAGTTGCATCATAATGACAGAAGGAAACACATAATTATATAATTATACTCGCGCGTTAGCGGAAAACAATCATTAACTAATCATTGTACGTCCTATCAGTGTGCGTTACTTTTAATATACATATGCGAAGTGTACTTACTAAAATTACGCTGTTGAGAATTTTGCTGACGTTAGTTATTAGGGTAAAGCCAGTGCCGAATGCGGATGACGGTATTTCCAAGGAAACCCTATTCCTGTCAAACACGGGCGTGTCCTCCGTAGTCGTAGCAATAGTCCTTTTCTGCAAATGTATACAATCAAATATTTCGCTGTTGTTTTATTGTGTGTGTCTTCACTTATTAGAATAGCAATGATAGAGCATTACGTGGGAAAATGTAGGAGTAAAAGTACATATGAATTCCGGTTTGGGTAATTATACTTTTTATAACCTTTTGCGTTTGTGGTTTTGACGGAAATAAAAAAAAAAGTGCTCTCAAACGTGAATTACTTGCGCTACAATTTTACATGTGCTTATCGTCATTTACAAGTTTATTTCATATTTATTCAGATATAAGTGAAGTAGCATTTTTCATAATTTGAACATTTACATATTTATATAAAAAACTATGTTTTTACAGAGGTGCAACATGGTTGTATAAACGATACTTTAAAGAGTCGGCAATGCAAGATATTCCTAACAGTTACGAGAAATCATTAATTATTAATCTCAAATCATTCAATAAACATATTTTAAGATGTATCTGAGTGAACGCATGTATAAATAAATTCTACACGTATAACAGGGATATGTGGGAAGGGATCAGACATTAGAGAGACTTTACGATGATCTGCAATTCGCCGCATGTGGTAGACAAAAATATAATTGTACATTTATTTGACATCAACATTATCACACACCAACATCACCATCTTTAATATTAAAATTTTTTTTGCGTGTCATGGAGCACTTGAATGCATTATTTACATCGCTTACACATAGCAAATAGTCCACGAGTTTGGCTCGTCCCTCTCGCTCTTAAATTACTCTTAAATTATTTACAGCTTTCACGATGGCGAAATGATTGTCGCCGCTAGATCTTCTATGATTTGTATTAGACATAACGCAATCCACACGATTCGGCCGGCAGGAGGTTGATTCGTCAGGAGAGCGTTTCCTGGAGAATTTCGTTTTCCCCTCTTTCCTTTACTTTTTCGTGCGAATTCTTTAAATGCTTTTTATGAGAGAGAAGGGCTTCTAGAGAGAGAAAGGAGGTTCTGCCAATTATCAGCCCAGCTAAAAACAGAAATTCACATCCCGTGTTACATGGAACGCCCACATATTCCATTGAAAGTGAAATCCATTGTGACCGTTTGTCCCATTTTCTTGTGGTGTGTTTAACGTTAGTTCGCTGTCTGTCGCTTTTTGCCCCCAAAGAGGTTTTCTTCTCGCAAACGCGGCTGGCCGCCGCTGGTCCAGCTAAAGTCCGTAGTCAAACGTCCGCTTTCCGCATCCCATCGGCATCCCGTTTTATCCCGCCCGCCTTTAAGCCGCTTAATACGCCGCTTGTGGTGGCGTATAATCGTACTGTTTGTGTACAATACTTGTTTTAATGGTATATATAATTTGTCGGAAGGCCTCGTTCTCGTGAAGGCGCCTTCCGAGGTTAAAAGGGAGATATCTCAGCACCATCGATTAGCCAGAGGTTTAGTGAAGCGTGTCGGCGGGATTAGCGATGTAGATTCTTTATTGTATTCAATTACGCGATTGAGAATGGTGGCATTTCAAGGTACAGAGAAAGGTGTCGAGACAGATACAATGGCGCGTTGTGACAGAAACGACATGCTTCAATGTTGCAGCATTGATTGATTGTTTCATTGTTACAAAGAAATTGAAGCTCCACCAGGATTAGAAACTCTATTAGATCGCACTTTTTCTAGTAAGATGAACAATTAATGTGTATTGGGGAAATAAGTAGTGGCGATAATCGTGCAAGTGAATAAATAAATATACAATAATCTCGATGGAAAAGCGTGTAAGGACAGTAAAGAATGCATTTACGTTATGGTAATCAATTCTAGCTGATTGTGAGTTTTGGAGGAAACACTCTAAAAAAAAAGCGTACAGCGCAGTAATTTACTGTTTATCGGTGCAATTAGCGATAGCATTAGAAGCAAACAGTCGCAGGCAGTCACACCCTCGTCCGAGTGAAGTAAAAACTGTCCACCGAACAAATTTTAGGAAAAACCGTTACGTTATCCGTATATTTCGCAGTAGTACACCGCTTTCTTACGGAGACGCAACATTCCAGCAACTTGCGCTACGTATCAGACACAGAACAGGCGACATGTACGGGACTTTAAAGTATGAAAAAAGAAATGTACAGTTTAACACAGAGATAATGATAAAATTAACTCATTGCAATCCTACCCCAGCCAGATTGGCGAAAGCTCCGAGATTGATCCCGGCGCCGGCGTTCGCACCGCCATTGTTTCCGCCGTAAGAGGAGTCGCTTCCGGCGCTACCACCGGCACCACCGCCGCTGCTGCCGCCGCTTAAACTGCTTAAACTGCTTAAACTGCCTAAACCGCCGCTACCTTGGCTCAGGCTCGACAAAGAGCCAATCTTCTGAGTCAAGAGATTGCCGATAATGGCCGATCCGGAGGATCCTCCGCTACCGTCCGCATGTCCTACATTTTACAAGCGAAATAATTAAAAAAAATGATATAAAACTAGCTTAAAAGGATGCGTTTATATAGCCGCGTATCAATTGCCTTGAGTCTTACAAATAATTTCATTCCCCTGAAAGCCCAGTCCCTGGATATTTCTGTTGAATTTGGAATTTTCTCATCCACATGAATTTCCGCCCAAAGATTGATCGAAGAAGCAAATTTGAAAAAAAAATCTCGCAATCCTACGCACCTGCGCCAGCATCAGCGCCGGCACCGCCGCCCGCACCACCGGAAAGACCGCCGGAAAGCGAGCTCAACGGCGCGATTTTCGAGACCAGAGCTTTCGAGATGCCGGCAGAGGCACCTGAGAAGAATGTCGTCGCACCGCTTATAAGGGGCCCGATGCTGCCCGTCGCAGCCTGAATCTTCTGAGACACCAAATGGTTGAGGAACTCCGACGTGGCCGAATGTTTGTTGTCGATTCCAAAAGCAGCGTTCTTCGCTTTGTTAGATTCGTCGAGAACTGTGAGTGCTTTGGTTTTTGAGTCTATGAAGGAATCCACTTTCTACAAAGGCATTAACATTTGTTAAAGGAGCTTTATGTACAGTAATAATTTGTAGTGACGGTAAAAGTGATCGTTTTGCGTTTAAAAGAGATCTCGTTACATATTTCAAGCGCGATCTTAATTACACGTAGAATTATTAATTATGTCCTTTACGTGATATATTGGCTTGTTATTTGCAACAACAGTAGAGATTTTACAAAGAGAATTAGCTAATTATTCTTACGTCAAACACAAAGTGAATGATGCCGTTCGATATTCCAAGCTTCAAGCCAATCTTTCTCTTGTCCCTATCACCTCTTTCACCATCATCTGCCGCTTCATCAGCTTCGATTACGTAGACCTATGCGGGTCATAAAATTAAGTTGCTTTAAGGTCGTCGATTAAGAGAGATAGCATAAAGCAACGGATTAAAGTTAACAATTAAGAGAGAAAAGAAGTCGATAATAAAGTGCATTATTACAGGAAAGAGTTCTCCTCGTCCGGAATATCGCACTGCGTCTTTAACAGTCAAGTATTACCTGTTTCGTTACTATCTATCACGTCCTATTATCAAGATCATCCGTGCTAGAAACGTTTTCACGGATTGTTTACAATGTCTGGCAGAAAATGAAATTATTACAATTGCTTGGCGCGATACTTATGTAGTTTTCTAAAGCTGTAATTTCGTACGTACATGCAACCTTACTTATGCAATGCTGCAGCTTTCGAAGAACGAGGTCGATATATGTTATGGATGTTGCTCGAGCGGAATTACACCGCGGTTACATTAACGCGTGATCGCGAACAGTGATAACGGTATAACGTTGCTCGCTGACTGATGCGCGCACACGAGGTTTCAAAGAAATTTCGTTACACGCGTGCATCCGTCTCTAGCGCGTTCGAACACGTACAGGTAGCGCTGACTACTTTCACTCTTGACTCGTTCTCCGAGATCATGTTTCTCTCTTTGTCGCATACCCCTTGTTCTCTGTCCCCCATTTTCTCTCTTTTTCTCTCATTACCATGTCATTTACGGTGGGTTTAGCTAATACAATGCGCTCAGTTGTCTTCCTTTAGTTACTCTTCTTAACACGCGACATCTTCCTTTCGACTCTCATCACAATGACGAGTGATTTTTCTTCTCGTAACGATCGCGTTTATTTTAATAATTTGCTCAGATTAAACGCCACTGTACAGGCACGTTCAGATTAAACATTGCCGTATAAATTTTGGCAAATTTCTTTTCTAAAATTAAAAGTGATCCTTTGCTAAGAGGAAAAGGAAAGAAAGTCGCGACATCGAGAGTGAAGAGTATACTTTCCTCTGGATTAATCTACAAGATAAATATTTATATAAGCTACGAGATTCGGTGCTGACCCAGATACTTCTCCAATCGACTGCATACTTCCTAATCGGTTAACGAGGAATTATCGAATGGGCAATTTTTGCCCATGTTTGCTTTCACTCTCGTTACTAAATGCTGAACTCGTCTCTTTTTATTTTACCGGCAATGTATTTCGAGGTGTTCATTCTAGGCCGAGTGAAGGTATAAGCGCACTTAATCGATGTGCGCTCAGGAGGGAAGGGGGGGGGGAGGAGGGGACGCAACGTCGCGCGACGTGGATTGTCGGATACTTGTCAGTTTACATCTATCGGAGAAAAACGTCGCCCGTGTCGGAAATTCATTTACGCTTTCCGTGTCTCGATTTCTCAAGATCCTCTAAGGATCGCGTGATACGCGACGGCATCGTAAAAGTCCACTCTCGATGTTAGAGATGGACAATAGCTCTCTGCAAGTAACTTCAGCATTCAAATCACTTCGTTAAAGCGCGATCGTAGCTCTCCTGCTGTTTCATTCTCTTACTTTCTAAATAACATTTGGAGTATATAATTCGTCCTCCTGATAACTTTCTTGATACATACGCGACTAGAAGTTAGAAAACATCTGATACCTAGATACGTAATAGCTTGGCACTTTAAAACGGAAGGAATAAATTGAAGGACTTACTTCGTTCAGCGGATTGAGGTTTTCTTCCGCTTCCCCCTTGTCGATAGGACTGCAATTGACAATGGCGACGGCCAAAAGCAGCCCACAGAGCGCACATAACACCCGCATTGTGTCGTCTTCGCTTGGTCGATCTGTTGCGATTCGGTCTGCATGAATAAAAAAAGCTGTCTGACAAGACGGCGGGATTCCCGGTAGTAACAAAATCGAAAGTAAATCTTGAGTGTCGAGTGAAAGGGTGCCTGCGCGAGCTTGGAAGTATTTACGAACGGATTTTCAATCGAACTGACCTGACTTTGTAAGCAGTCAAAAATCGACGGTAATCCGCGTAATCGGAGAAATGAAAAGAATTCAGTGCGAGCAAATCGTGTTGTGCAAATGTGATGTGTGCAAATCGAATTTTTAAAACTTTCGATAAACATTTCTTTAAAAAGCTTGTTTAAGGCACAACAACGTTAGAGAAGATGTGTCTTTTGCTACGACAGAAGAAAAGAAATTACGTGAGATGAAGAGGGAGTTTAAAGAAATTAGAATATTCGGGATTTGTATTGATAAGAAGAAACAGCTGTCAATTAGCGGATTGTTTATAGAATGTTATAGACGTAAACTTGACCAAATAATATGCCGCAATTTCGAAGAATAAAGTAATTATCTTGTTAATAATAAACATTTGGCTGTCAAATTACAAGTGTAAAATGTTCGGTTGAATAATACGCTACCGTAATTTGTGAGAAGGGATGAGTGATTAGTTCGTAAAATAATAGCCTCGATGCGCAATAAAGAGAGAGGATTATGTGAGAAAAGCATAGAAGAAAGAAAACAATGACACTTGACACGTGTTCGATTTGTGTCAACCTGTTCAAATTGAACAGAGTCTTTTCCCGATTAAGGAAAAGCAATAAGACCTCAGCGAGTGCCTAGTCAGTCACGTGGCAGACCGAAGCAGAACGTATGTGAAGGGATTGCGTGGACTTACGAGTGCCGGTGCGGCGAGTGCGTACGAGCGAGCGAATGCGTGAGTTGTGTACCTGGCGGAGTGCGAGGCTCGTTTGAGGACCACAGTGAAGGAGGTCCCGATGTCTTACGGAGCCGAAGGGGAAACGAAGGCGAGCATGTGTGCCCCTTCGAGAATCGAGAATCGTGCACCGCGAGCCTCACCTCCCGCAGGTGGGGCGCCCTCCAATTCACTCCATTCGCGAAACCCGCTCAGCAGCCGACATCATCCAAAGCGCTTGCCAACGGTCCACCCCACTTCTGTCGTCCTCGCTGACTTAATTTTTCAGCTTACAAAATAAATTACACAGTCGTGAGAGCTCGAGAGATACCGATACCGCGTACTTGGCGAAGGAAGAGTGTGGACTCGAAAACAATCGCCCGCTGACATAATCATCGTTAAAGCAGAATTATAAAACCCGATGTGCCAGTTTGAAAGTATCCCACTGCCGGACGTATTTCTTTTGTTATGGTAATGGTAAACAATAATTGAACGACCGATCCCAGCGTCACGCTTCGCGCGTAAGTAACAATAAAGTCTGAGAAGTCAGAAATTATCGTATCATCGATTTCCCTGATTGTCATCTTTTTTTTCAAGTAATAAAAGAAGAGATGTATGAAAGGTTAAATAAATATGGGAACTACATAACTTTTAGCATTGTTCGGCAGATGCTATGTAAGTCGACAGAACGCATAATCCAGTGACAGACGCTTAAAATTAATAGCCTCAAAGAGAAGCGTCACCTTTGGTATTATAACTTCTATACAGTTGTGTGAATGTCTACGCGAATTTGCATGTGTATATACACATATGTATATATTAATGCTATTATTGCGTGATTTTAAAGCTTGATGATTTACATTCGAACTTTCTCTTCAAGCCATTTTGAAATTATCTCACACAAAATTGGAGAATCTAGTTTACGTAAGAAGCAGTTTCTCCAAATTGGACCATTTAGCCTTATATTTGCATGTCGCAAAAATACGCCTGGCACGTCGTGTCAGAAACTACGAATAAGAGAGGTGATGCATACGATATTTGCATCACGTCGTAACGCTTGATGATCTGCCAATAGAAGTTGGGAAACTGGAACAATTACTTGAGGAAATCTCTCACCGAACTTAATTCAACATCGTATTAATTATTTCTATCTTTTCAATCGCTAATTATCATTATGCGTAGTAGATTACATTACCAATTATCGTGTTCACTGGTTTGATCTTAAGAGCTAATCAAGATGAACTCTTCTCTTGCCTTGACCATAATTTAAGCGTTTGCCTTTTAGCGGTTTGATTTCAAATGCACTTGGAAAAATGCAGCATGTATTAATTGATTAACATTAGTCATTGAATCTCCCTTCCCCCGTCTTCGTGGCGGATGTTTTCTCTTTTTGATCGCGTGCGGAAGAGAGCAGATATGAGTTTTATCTATATTGCGTACATATAAGTCGCAATAATGTTCCTTAAGCCAGTTGCCGTGTTAATTAGGAGAAGCAAGGACGTTAGATTTGATAAAACTCGTAGTTATGTTTTTAATAGGTACATAGTTTTTTATACTCTAGACTTAATTATAGACCCTTTGGTGAACATTTTTCTTGGAATTTTTATACGAATTGAAAACACTTTCAGAAATGTTAAGAAAGCCTACTTCTTTTCTGAGAATTTTTTTAGGTATTTGAATATGCTGAAATATTTTATTTCAAACATTTCTTATTCTATAATTTCTGAAAAAAAGTATCTCAAACTTTTTCAAATTTTATAAGACTATAGAATGAGAAATTTTGTCTGATTACGGAACTAGAAATCTTAGAATATTTCAGAATTCATACATATGAAAAATTCTCGAAAATATATAAACTTTCTCAGCACTTTTGAACCAATTTGTGTACAAAATCTGACAGATTTTGAGAAAAATGTTCGCCAGAGAGCTAATATATAACATCTTTGCCATTTTCTGAACGCAATGTAATAATTGAATGACAGAAATCCAAGATATCGAAATTCTGTGTCTGAACTTGTCGAAAAAGAGCATTAAGAACATTTATCGCGAAGAATTTGAAGATATACACCTTTAGAATGCACTTAGGATGCACTTGTGTTTATATCAAAATTAGTTAAAATAGCTATAAACTATTCGTTCTGCATCGAGCTCCGTCGAGCTGTTATTTTTAAGGCCAATTGCGCAACGGATTCCTTTCGTCGCCATTTATATGCGCTGCACGATAATTCTGAATGAAATCAGGTCTCTTTAAAAAATGGACTAGAGCACAACGCAATTTCTCTGTGCACAGTTAAATGATAATAATCTAGCTTTGAAATAGGGAGTCGTTACTAAAAATTTATATGAAATCAACAAAATTGTTTGACTGATAAATACATGAATATCAGATACACAATCCATGGTAATCGAGATAAAAACATTAAATCACTTTCAAGCTGGCACATTTCGGGGTATCCGCGAGTATTCGATCGAAATCAATAATTTCGAATGTGCGACAGAGCTTTATCGGCGCCCAAGTAGTAAGACTATTCTGTGGTCAGACTGTTCAGCCGCTCGTGAAGTGGCGCCACGTGGCGAACGCGCGCCCAGACGAATACGGCATCTCAACCGCAGCCGAAGAAACATCGAGTGACTTTCCAATGGAAGAGAGAGTAACGCATTTCGGTAATCCTCCCGTGGGAGAAAAGTAAAAAGAGGAGCGGAAAATCCCACGTATCACCGGGGGTCACGTAAATCCGGCTTACGTATTACACAACGTGTCCCACTTATTCCCCCCAAAAAAATGGGGGATCGAAATCATTTACATCGACGCCTTTCCAGAAGCGCAGCCGGACGGGAATGTCTGTTGCATTCTCTCGTTTTCTGGCGTCTTATTCCCAGAACTTTTTCTCGTAACTCACCGTTGCAGAATTCTGCAGAAAAAGCTTCAAACGAGGACAATTGCCGAGAGATAAAGGGAGATAACGGCCAAGTCCTTGTCATGTGTGCGCAATTTCTTTTTTTTACGCGTATTTAATGCATATTATCGGATCTATAAGATGTATGATTATGATAATTAGATATAGATAGACGTGTTAAATGTTGCATCGAACAGGTCCAGCGGTGTCGCATACGAATGAGAAAAAGTAGCTTACGCTACGCGTAGACGCACGCGTTCAACAACAATGTACACATTTTAGCAGCAATGCTAATATGTTGTAACCGTTTACCGCGCACATTTGTTGACGCATTTAACATCTTGCGATCGTCCACTGCGTTTTACTGGTGGAAAAGTGCACGGTGAAAATTTCAAGCTGTTCTAAGAATGTTCGGAGTTACGATTACCAATAACGAGAAGACGAGAGTCAAGCGAACCGTTGACTATCGCGATGTCTCTCCCCAGGCTCACAAGTCGATGATCAAATCGATATCGATGACGATTTTTCGGACCGTTTGATTTCACGACGATTAGATTCTGCATTAATTTCGTAAGAAAATCTGCACGATACTTTGTCGATATCTTATCGACGTATAGTCGACACCTATTAGGTGTATACATATCAATTTGACGTATGGAAAATAGTGCCAGTGTCGAACAATATTGATGATTTAGTTGATGTCTACACGGAGAGAATTTTCTCTTAAAATTTACCCTGAAAATCATGTGGGACAACATGGCGTTTTGAAGAACTTTAAGAGAGTTTTTGAAACTTTCACCATACATTTTACTAGTTAAATGTGCACTAAGTATAATTACTAATAAGACGTATGGTAAAATTTCCACAAGCTCTCATAAAATTCTTGAAAGTACGATTATATAATTTTAGGATAAATTTGAAGAGAAAATTCTTTCCGCGTAGCAGATATATTCAAGTCGAATCGATAGATGGAGATGTTGATTCGACTTCAATATGATATTTTCTAGATATCATAATAATCTTCTAAATATCAACTTGGCTGTTGATTTACACGTGATCTCAACTTGATTTCAATATGATGTTCATCGGATTCTTCATCGACTTGTAAACCCGGGCCTTGACACGTATTAGTGAAGATTCGTCTTAATTAAGGATAAATCTCGAATATTTTACGGGCTAAATATGCGTGTACAAGACTCGACTAGATTTTTTTATTAATTCGTAAAATCTGATTTTTTTTCACCGAACCGAGCAATTTATCAGATCGTCGTTGGCCGCGTGGACTTGCTGGTTTCACTCAGCAAATCAATTAGAATAATTTGCATTTGCTTCTTCGCAGTCGATTGGTGAAAATCGTTACGCGATAAATTGAAATACATAAAATAAAGTATATATCTTGCAAAATTTCCTTTAAATGAACGTCACAAAGATGACATTAATGCAAATTCCACTAATGCCTGGCTACAAAGATAAAGACGTTCAGATAGATGTTTATTATTCTCTCAGCATTGTATACCGTTATTGTCACAGACATCTAAAACTGTCTAATTAACTTCACAGAGTACTACTTCCCTTTCAGTAATGATTTATTAATTCGTTTTGCTTCACGTGTACCTCGTAATTCCGTCTACCTTCGTCCCACACAGTTATTTCCTTCTCGCCGGCAGCAATTTTCGATTGCGGATCCAAAGCCGCAAGATACACTCGTGAAACTGTCGCAACGGTTCACCGGTGACGCGCACCATCCGCGGATGATGGTGTCAGCCGCGGTCGCTCCGGGCGATCGATCACGCACGATCTCTCGATCATCGATCGCGATGCAAAGGTGGGCGAAGCGGGAGAAACTCCCGAAACGAGACGCGGGGGCCGTTGCGCTCGCGACGCGGCCGATCGAGCGGGGCTTTGACACGCGGCTGCGACTATCCGCCGGAACGAAGGCGAGGAGCGGCCACGCGTTCGCCGTTCGCGAAGAAAGTTGCCAGCGGGGAAATTGGCCGCGTGAAACGAACGCGTCACCGTGGCGACGCGAACGACGAGGAACGAGGTGGGCGAGGAGATTTACGGCGAGGCGATTTCCGCGCGCGTCGCGTGACACGCGCGTGCGACGTTGACAGACCCGATGATAGAGGATCGCCGGAGATGAATTGGCTCATCAGCCGGAAGTAGATCTCCGGCGCGAGGTGGCGATTATCCGGAATTTCCACGGGGCCAATCTTGGCCGTATCTCCGACGGTGACGCGCGTACGTTTCTTTGAAGCTATGACGAGGCGCGCTACACTCGGGGAATACCGAACGAAAGTACTCTGGGAATTTCGCGGGCGCCTCGCTCGAGTGAAATGCAGCGAGGAAAGCAGGAACGTTATGTAAAATTGTTATGTTCTTTAAGAGCGCGCTTATTATTTTATTCAACCAGGTGCTAATAAGATGATATAACGAGCACATTATAATAAGCAGATTGTATCCGCGCGCTTACGCAACACCTGGTTACGTTGCCGCGATTTTTGCCAAACGTGTCACCACGTGTCTTCAGATTCGTCAGTTCAGGAAACGTCTCTTCCGCCGGCGCGGATCAATTATTTTAAAACACGTGGAGACGGGCCATCGCGAGATGTAATAAATATCGCCGCGTTTTACATGTATAAAAACCGCGGTTTATTTCATGGGGCTTTTACGTAATGGCCGGCAGCACGTGTCCGGGATGTCCGAGCCGTGCGTGCGCGCGTGCATGAACGTTTGTTTGCGAGCGCTCGATGACGCGACGGCCCGTTGTTCAATCCCGGTCGTGCAACCCGAATAAATATCGTTCTTTACTTTCTCCGGCCGCGACTGTGCCTACGAAACTTCCTCCACTGCCGTCGCCAGCCGTATCGGGCATGCACTCGAGAAATTTATTGCAATGGACATGGACGCGTCTCGCAGTCGGCGCGAGAAACGGGAGTAAAAGTCGATCGCATTTATCTCGCGATGCGTCCGCCTTTTTGCCTCTTCCGTCAGCCCTGACTTTCTCAATGAAGGAGCTCGATCGATTACTTGTCTTCGGCGGTTAATGGCACAATAACGCCGCAATAATACATAAGTTTTGACGTAACACAGCGCGTAGATTGCATCTATTTTCACTAAATAATACGGATACGCCGAGGAGAGAGCCCCGTGTCGCGCATTTTGCTCCGGAAGTTCATTTCATAACGTTTGAACAAGCGCGCATTAAGCGAGGTGAGAGTGTATGACGGAGATTCAATCTCCGGCCATTTTCTACTTTGTGCAAGAAACGAGTGTACGCGGTCGGCAATAAAGTACATACATGGATATATTCGTTTAATAGCGATAAAGAGATAATAATCGAAATACGCAATGCAGATAATACCGGGTCTCGATCAGATTTAGTTCATCACGCTTGTTGTGGAAATCTACTGGATTTGCGTAATCCATACATCGGCAAGATATAATGTATTACCCAGTTGTTTCGTAACTAAGGCGATAATTTTAACATACCTTCGGCATGCAACACGTCAGGTTCCGTGTATTATCGTAAAGCTAATGTAGTTCTGTATCAGGATAACATTAGCAAGTCAAAAATATTGTTGGTACGATAATCAATCTGCATTATTACGTGCAGACTGTCTATTAGTGCAGGGAAAAACCTGGGAAGCCTGGAATTCTCAAGGAATTTTTTTTCGATTGGAAAACCAGTGAATTATCGGGGAATTTTTGTTGAAATTGTCTCTTTACTTTGTATTTATTGAGCAATCGAATGTTAGCCCAGCGATCAAGTTGGCAGCGTAGTGACAGAAAACTTATAAATTGGGAAGCGGCAACTAATGCTCCAAGCATTATGTGCCATTTTTAATTTTTCTGTTTCTTCGAAATGAGAAAGCAGAATTTTTAATGACACAAAATGCCTGCCTTGTAAGAAACATGTTTTTTTATTTAAAAGTTTTTTTAACTTTTACTTTTCCCTTTACGATTGTGTAAATATGAGAGATACCTTGTGAACGCGATAAGAATAACTTTGTACAATAATTAAATTTATTAAAAATTTGCACAAAAAACTATTACCTACATGTGGAGGTTTTAATCAAAATCCTTGAAAAGTTGAGGAATTCTCAGGGAAGTTTTATCGAGAAACGAGACGCCCTAGTGGCAAGAAGTAAATAATTTGAATGCAACGCTGGTAGGAATTTTTTAATACATTTCATAATTTAGAAAACGTGAATTGAAAAGTAATATTAGCTGATAACTCATTGGTAAATTATTAACGGCTGCGAAGTGGAGTATCGCTTGGCCTTCTGCAGTAGCCGGTTTTTTACTAACGAGGACATTTTATAAAAGTAATAAAATTTTTATAGCTGAAAGAGTCGTGCCTTTATACGATTTGTATCGTCATCGTATGTCACAGAGGCGCGTAAATCACATATGATTCGCCTGTTTATGTAATTACTGTATAATCAGCAGGTGATGCAAAGCGGATCGCGACGCGCTGCCAGATCCTCCGGTAATTACTGTCAAAGAGGATCGTTTCAGCCGTGACAGCCGACACTGCCGAGTCAATCCCACGTGGCGAAATAGCGCCACGTGCAATTACGCGCGCGAACGTACATACGTACATACGTCTCGCGGCGGAATGTCCCCGTCACAACCTGATGCATCTATTCAACTGTGTTTGTTCCAGTTTCGCAATCGTGCTTGTCTGTACAGCCCGTCGGATCGTTTCGAGCGACGTGACGAGGTTTCTCGCTGATCGCTCCCGAAGGTGTCGCGCGCCAAGTGCGCCCGAGACTCTATCGTGGGACGATTAGGTAAATAGAAATCGCCGGTCAAAGATACAGACCGATCAAAGGTTTCGCGTTAAATTAACTGGGAATTTTCGATCAACAAGTTGCGACAGGATTGCGTGCGTCTTCATTAAAACGTAGATGTTCGCGACGGCATATATCTGCCTGCTCCATCATCAGATATTCCACACGTAATCCGTTTCTGATTATCGACGGGACGATATCGGGATGACTTTTTTTTCTCTATTTTTTTGGTACAGTCTCGAGATTCTAGACCACGGTGATCTACTCGCGAGAAACTCTTGGGTAAGATCGGGTGATCTTCGAGGTCTCACGTCGTCGGAATGGAGGTCATGATCTCCGCACGATCTACATATTTACTCCAGGCGAGCAATCACTCACATTTCACAAGTAATAAACTCTCGCGATGCAAATTAGCGCGACACTACAAATTGGAGATCAATAGCGTAAATATCGTGCCCATCGTAACGAAATGTTTAGAATAATGGCGCTGTTGAGCATTTACTTTTTGCAGTGTAATGCAAGATATAATGTCGATATTCCACTTAATTGAGCGTTTAACATGCTCAGCACATTATTGTTGTTTTAACGGTCCTCCAAAGCGGTGAACCGTGTTCCAGTTACTGCGAATTATTCAGCAACGCGTACTACCAGCACAAATGCAACGCCAGGTTTTTACGGCCGATAGGTAACCACCAGCATTAATCAAGCTTAGCTTAGATCGCACATCGTGCCAACGACCTCCAATGACGAGGATGAAAGTGGCTCCCGTTTTAATTTTATACGCGAAACGACGGCGTGACGTAAACTTTAATCTTAACTCGATAGAAATATGACCTAATTCTATTGGGTGACGTTTATGCCTAATTATTTGCACTTGCGAAAAGGAAATTGCATCGAAATGGAAACCGCGCGAGATTTCTTTTATGATTTATTACATGATTGATTACACAATTAAAACTGAAGTAAAAACTAGCGATTAAAATGAATGCGATAATTAAAACACGTGTATTCGCGTAGAAAATGGAATTTCGTTAATATTACGTCAAACGTTTCATCCGATTTGAATAAGAGCCTCGTTGAATCGACGATATAAAATTGTTATCTGTTGGGTATTACGCAATATGAATGAATACGCGTCCGTATGCCATGACTAGGAATGTCTGCCAGTCTTAGCAAAGCATTACGAGGGTCAACTAACGACCTCGAGTCTACAAAAAGTTTCACTTTCTTTAACGATGGAAAGTGGCACCGGCCTTCGACGTTATTTTGCGATGTTTAGCCGACTGCTGGACGTACATATTTAACATATTTTCGCAAGCTGATAAAACTAAAATACCAGAAAATACTTAATATTCTTACTTATGCCCTTCACCTTTTCCAATCATAAATTAACATTTGTTTAAATTATTTTTTAGCTCCTTTTTCTCAATCGTCCTGTTAGAATTCATACGCGTCATTCGATTACGATTCATCGTATAGTAGTTTCCCTAAAAGCTGCCGCTTCACGAATGCCGAGTATGATTTTTATGGTCTCAATTTGTCAATGTTACAATCGTACTACCATAGCGCAGAAGCACCATGACAACCCTGACGCCTTGGCATTGCCGGAAGAGAATGATCTTCCGTATAATCCTGGAAGGATTCATAGGTCAGATAAAGTGAAACGCATGCTTTCACTTGAAACAGCAATTTAGAGGATCAATGCGGCACGATCGGGACAACAGCGGTTTGACAGAACGAGAGGCAATGCCGCGACAGTTAACTTGGCGACTTTTTTTTTTATTTGCTAATTGCGAAGTGATTAAATCACGAATTACTCCGACAGCGACGTGTCTCTCTCCATTCGTGGTCTACTTGTCGCGCAATTGAAATACTAAAAGTAAAACACTTCTCATTGTTAGCAAAAGTCGCGACAAAATATGCAGTTGCACTTGAAACGGGCCGTAATTGTCGGTCGAAACGTTGCGTTTATTTAAATAAATATATTTGCCAGTTACGTCGGATAATTTTAAACTTTTTGTAAAATATGCAGATACCAATGAAGGGGGAAAGACTTATTTAAAAGTTTAAAATAAATTAATTTGCAAGCGCTAACTATCTTATTTTTCTTTCAGAATTTATTTTCCAATTTACGGCCTTCCAAAAATATGATAATGATATACGTAATATTCAGGAAACGAGTGTGGCCGATTAAGAATTTTCACTTCCGTTGACATAACGGCTTCGGTTAGACCTCGCGTTTTTATCATTTACATGCGGCCGGTATCGAAGTGAAATCGTCGAACGCAGACTCATCGATTAGTAGAGTCTACGCGATTATTGCGTGATGATTACAAATGCGAATCTACGCGGACGAAAAAAATGTTGCGAAACTCCTGTTGGAAGCGTGTGTCGGCTTCGGGATCACTGGTCGGGAGGTCGATTTGAGGAACAATTAAGGCTGGATCCTTTGAAAGATGAGCGGAGGACTTTAGTGTCGCGAGGACTTTCACCGGCTGCGTTCGAAAAAGTCAAGTGTTGATTTGTTGCTGCGGGCAATTAAATTGGCATTTACGCAATATTACGAGCATAGATCCGCATCCCGGCCGCTTGGCCACGTTGCGCCGGCGGAATTTCACGAACCATTAAAATAAACCGCGCACGATGTCAAACGATATTTCCTCACGCGACCCGTGTTGAGTCGTTAAAGAGATGTAAAGTAGGATATTTACGAGGGCATTTACGAAGGGTGGAGAGAAACAGGGGGACAAACGGGAGCACAAAATGCTGGTTTACGCGAATTGCGTAAACCTGTCAATCCACAATAACGCCGCGGGACGTTCGACCCGTTTCGCTGTGTATCATATATTTCAGAGGTGACAAAGACAGAAGCAGGAAAACACGAGCGAGAGAAAGAGAGGACAGTTCCTGGGAAACCGTGCTCTAAAGTAGCAAAACGTCTCATTGAAAGTTTCTCGGGCTATGCAAATTACCGGTTTCGACAGATCTTTTATGGGGAACTAGTATTATATATTCCAAAGATCGATGTTTTTTTGAAAGTAATCGCCCCGAAGCGGAGTTCGAACCGCTCGTTGGGATCGCCAAATTATTGTTTCGGCTATGATTAACAGCCGCGTCGACGATGTGAAAGGGATACCAGGTACAAACGTTGCATCCTAGAAAAACAAAATAAATGAGCAAAATTAACAGCGTCGCTTAGAGACAATCGCGTAACTCATCGCTCATAAATCCGGATGTATCATATATCCGGGATAGGTATATTTAATGTCCATTGGCTCGTCGTAAAGCCTGCCTGTGTAATTTCGCCAATTACGTGTCGTTTCGCACAAGTCCGGTTCAGCTTTTCTCTTCATTAGCCACGTATGCGCTTCTTTATTCAGAATCTTAATCAATCTTAGTCTCACAAAATATCACAAGAACGAGATACGCGAAGAAATCGGCCACATCCAGGAATGTAAAGTGTCCCATCCGTTTCTTCCGGGTGTCCGGCGCGTGTCCTGGACGCGCGTACACCCGGATACGCGGTATCAGATCCGGGTAATGCGTAAGTACTGCACATACGCAAGCAATCAGTTTTTTAAGTACCTACACTTTTATGCCTTTACGTACCGTACTCTGAATGAAACAAGTGCAAGACATCTTTCCGCGTAAAAAACCCATCGCTTCTTTCTCGCTGAGTGTATCGCACCGTCGCAACGTTCTAATTGAATGTGTATTGAGTTAACTAAAGTGAAGTCTATTGTAACTTTTTAACATTGATAATAATTACTGATAATAATTACGATTGACGGTTAGGCCGTAAAAATAAATATATTTTACTTCGTTTACGTATATTATATTATCAATAATTATAGCTTATAATCGATGGTCTCGATATTCGATCCTTAAAAGTGCGAATGGCGATGTGCTTGTACAGCCTGCGTGGAATTATTTGCAAGATTGCTCACAGGAAATGATAATTCAAATGAGGCGAAAAGGAAAGTTCGCAATGATGACGTGACATTTGTCCTTGCACGGTTAGATTATCCTGCAATCATTGCACAGAAGCTGGTATACCCACATAATCTCAGTTGTAATGAGTTTGTGGTTGCAAAATGGTCTTATCAGAGAGGTCAAGAGCCGTTCCCGTGTGGCCGTGACATCTGCACTAAATGAAGCCCTTCCGAAGAGGCTTTACGTAAGAAAAACCAGGAAGTTATTCTTTTCACAGTTGTAATACTGTCCATCGCAAACGTAACCCTTGAAAAAGCAGTAGATTGCGGGCGAGATGCGAGACTCAAAATTTCTTTATTTGCTTCCGCGGGATTTGTCTTCGCGTGAATGACACGTAAGGAGAACTCGTGGACGGAGGTGCACCGTAGGAAGTGGGCGGCGGTGCTGCGTACGTCGGATGCGGCGGTGCTGCGTACGTCGGATGCGCGGGTGGACCATACGTGGGGCTCTCTGGTTTCTGTGACGATTCTGAGGAACCGGCCGACAGTTCTGCGCCAGCGGTTGACGCCTTGCCGGATAGCGATGCACCGGCGCGCGACGACGTTGCCGACAGCTTCAGGACAGCGCCGAAGATGTCTTTTATCGGGTTAAGTGCATCCCCAGAGCCCTACAAAAATCGATCGAGAGTTCGTCCCAGATACAAAAACAACGCCACTTTGTTTGCGCACGGATATCAGTAATAATAAAATAGCACTGAAAAAATTTCTGGTTGAATATGGACGAATCAGATAATTCCTTTAGGATTTACCAGAATTCCTTTAGGATTTACCAGAATTCCTGTAATCCTACAGAAATTCTGGTAAATCCTAAAGGAATTCTGGTAAATCCTAAAGGAATTATCTGATTCGTCCATATTCAACCAGAAATCCTGTAATCCTACAGAAATTCTGGTAAATCCTAAAGGAATTCTGGTAAATCCTAAAGGAATTATCTGATTCGTCCATATTCAACCAGAAATTTTTTTCAGTGAGGAGATACTAATTTTTCCGTTTTATCTTAAGCTTTTCTCACAGTAATTAAATTCAATTAGTTTAGAAAAATATAAAATTATGCGCATATATGTAAAAAAAATACAAGTTCTTACGGAGGGTTTATTATAGCTGCCGTAGGACTGATGATAACCGCCGTAGGATGTAGACGATTGGTACGTATCTCTGTTACTGCTCTGACCATTTTGACCGTATCTATTGTTATAACCACTCTGACCATATCTATTGTTACCATTATTACCACTCTGACCGTAACCGTATTGACCCTTGTGGCCTTTCGAACCAGTACTGGCACCAGCAAGCACGCCTGACACAATCGAGCTTACTAGAGATTTCACATCTGAGTCACCTGCCGCAACAGCGGATTCCTGGGATTTAGAAATAAGAAAGCGTCTACTTAGTTTCGTAAAATACTAAAAGAGGAAGAGATTAAGCTTGAGATTAATAAAGACCGCTAAATAATTATATAGAAGATACATTCACGATGCGTACTTTACTTAGTTTAGCGGTGATACTGGCGATAAGTCCCGACAACACCGATTGCCCATATGGTCCCTGAGGCTAAAATCGAGAGCACGAATAGATATTCAGGAATGCAAGATCACAATTGAGGAGATCGGTGGAAGAACGACTTAAGTGGACTTAAGTGGACTTGAGTGTTTTGTCATGTGAGAGCTAAAAAGCTTTATAATCGTATTCAACAGATCAATATCTCTATAAAACGTGCACTTGGAATCTTATAGTTTGGTTAATAAATACGTAAATTTGCAAAATTTTGAATACAAATTTTTACCAACTCATTCTTCCACCACACGACTTAAGTCGTTCCACCACCAAACTTCTCAATCGCACTATATTCTACAAGTACACGAGCATACAGGAAGGTTTGCAAAAATATGAATTACCTTGCTCAAAGGCTCAGCCGATGCTGCAAATGCAGACGCCGACCCCCGTACGCCGTCGGGCTGAAAATCACATTGATATTTATATTCACATCTGCTTTCACATCTCTATGAAACTCAATCTTTCTCTATTCAGAATCCACAATTTATGATGGGTGCAATTTTATAAAATAAAATTCTTACGCCACTACTGGAACGACTGAGCGGACCGATCAGGGGGCCCGAAAGAGGTCCGCTCAACGGCGCTATCAGCTGAATGAGAGGTCCTAAAATGGCGCCAGAATCGCTACCTTGTCCGTCCGGGCCCTACACAGATTATTTTCATGTTCAGAGAGTAGACTTTGGTAATTATTGCTCGGTAAATTTACCTCGCTGAGCTTTTGAGAGAGGGGCAATAAGGCTGCTGGAATATCGACGCCTCCCTCCTCTTCCGGCTGGAAAAGAGCACACATTCTACAGTTATATAATTAAATCTCTGCGAATTATTTGGAGAGGACTGAGGAGACTAGTATTTTTGTCTTACGTCAGAGAGTCCTTCGAGAAGAGGAATTGCACCTTGAAGCACTTCTGCTATATCAACCTCGGCATCTGGCTGAAATATAATCATAGCTTTCTGTTTTTTTTTACGCTGACTTCACTTCTATTATAACATCGTATTGCGATAGAATGTTTCGTGTAATCGCAAACATGAATATAGAACATTCACAAATGTCACAGCTACAAGTACATAACTACAAGTTTGTCGTTACGTCATCTTACATCACTAAGTTCTTCGAGAATTGGCGCAGCTAACGGCAGTAAGTCGATCACAGCTTGTATGGATCCACCCTCTTCTTCTTCTTCGTCGTCGTCGTCGTCTTCTTGGGCTTCTGTCTGTGATTCGTCATCATCGTCGTTCTCACCATTGCCGTTTTCACTATTGCCATTTTCACCATTGCCGTTCTCATCATTGCCGCTCTCACCATTGCCGTTCTCACTATTGCCGTTTTCATCGTCGTCATCATTCCCCTATATGATAGCTTACGTTATAATGATCATAGAATACGTGTTTTTACAATAAATAAAAATACATAAACTGCGTACGTTCACTTGCTGCGCTAGAAACGTTTCGTTGCGTCTTCCACGAGGCGGCGGTATCTAAAACAAATAATTGCGTGTCATTGTCGGTTAATAATGTCCTTGGTAAATGAATATTTTTACATCAATTATTTTGAAACCGTGAGACAAGTGATGTTGAAATATAGTTGCTTATAATAATTATTCCTAATTTGTTAAATTTAGTGTTACATTCTTATTAATGCAAAATTAGATTCACCAATTTATTGATTTCGTCACTAGATCTGTCTAACGATAAGACAGACTAAAAAAAGAAATTCGTTATGTTGGTTCTCATTTGTGTAATGGATCACAGACGCGACACTTTTATACATATTTATGAGAACGTGTCCTGATTGGTTGAAGGTATTACAGCCAACGCAACCGATTGTAAATTTTTAATTTCACAATTTTTGTCTATATCGCCGTTCTTTCCTACTTATCTTTTGACAAATGCAGTAATCGGCCATAAATTCTTAATTTTATAACATTCTTTTACAATCACTGTCGATTTTTATATATCCTTTTCGTGTAATACTACAAAAACGGTTATCTGAGTTATCTATATGTTAAAATGTTTACGAAAGAACTTCTTACATAAACATCCTTTATAACTTAACTCTTGAAAATGCAAAGCAAAGCAGTTTCCTCTTTCAATAGTCGTTTGCCCGAATGTCGTGTTAGAGCGTGAGTTTGATCTCGATTTTGTAATAGTTGTTCTGCGGCAAAATTATTGCGGCAATTGCGACTTTTTATAGTTATCATGTAAACGCCACTCTTATAAATACAGTGACATATTTCTTTCCCCCGCGGCACCTATAATAGTCTTATCATTTATCGCGTCATGGCATTTTTTTACGTCGTAAATAATTTATGTGCATGCAGAATTACGCTGCTTGAGATCTACTCACCTCTTCCAAGGCCACTTGTATCTTCTGCGAGTTCGTACCTTTCAAGATAGAGAGTAAAGGCGTCGCGATGTTAACCTCAGTGGCATTCTTCGGCACTTTCCGCAAAATACCCAACGTCCTCAGTAAATCCCCGAGTGCGGACGATTGTCGTTTTATGGACGACTTCAGCTTCTTCGTGCTATTCGTGGCTTTCTTCTGGCTTTGCTTTTTCGGCTCGCGTACATTCTGCTCCTTCTTTTCTTCTTTCCCCTTTTTCACGTTTCCCCGCGTTTTCGTCTCACTCGTATCTGCGATGAAATCATTGAGGACGACGTTGATTTGTCCGGATTCGTTCGAAAGGTTGTTTTGTTCGAAGTATGGCAGAAACTCCCTCGGAAGATCTCCAATCGCGGTATAATCATTCGCCTGCATCTTCGAGATCATCGTAGCCGCTGGTAGGTTTTTAGCGATCGTGACCACTGCTTGGAACGGAAAAGTCAGCAGAGGTTCGCCTATATGCGACAGATTCATTCCAGTAAATTCGTTATTTATGGCGATTGGCAATGCCTGTTCTAGTTCGACACTGGGAGTCTTGATGTGAAGATCCAAGGAATTTTTCATCGTCTGAAGCCTCGCCGACTCCCCGAAGCCGGAAACATTCTTACCAATGGCGCTCTGATACGATTTAGCGGCATCGATCGGTGGCAACGGGAGATACACGTTGGTAGGTGGCTGCTGCAAGAAATCCAAATTTCCAAAGGTATCAATTTCACTTTGCTGAAAGAGATTCCCGAGGTTGAAGTCCATGTATTGTCCAAAATCAGTCGGCTCGTTGAAACCCGTAGAAAAGCTAGAAGGATTTTGCTGGGGAGGATTGGGTGCTGTCGGTTTCATCGCCCCTATGGGCAGAGGATAAGCAACCACTTTTTCATCCGGTCTTTGCATATGAGGTTCCTTGAGCCTTCGCGCTGGATAATTTGGACCTTGTCGTTTCTCATTGAGAGGTGCCTTCTTCATCGTCTCCTTCGACTTCGAGCCTGGATTGCTCGTAAAGGGAGCTCGTTTCTCGTCCGATAAGTTTTTGAAAGGCGACATGAAATTGATCTTCGACGCCATCAAACTCATTACGTACTTAGACCAAGCTAATAAATCTTCTTTCGACGAAATTTTCAGCGGCAGCTGAAGCTCCAAGATCTTTGGGGAAGCCGAGAAGCCTTGTTCGCTCTGGAACGGCGAGTGTTTCTGGGATTTCAAAGGTGCCGAGGACGCAAGGTTGAATATCACCAAAATCAGGATGCAATTCGAACGAGACAGTATCCTCGATAACATGAGGAGCATCTTGAAAATTTATATTTTCGCTCCAAAGGTAATTATTTCATTCAAAGTTCCAAAGGTTTAAGTACAATTAGCGGACGATTGTAATACCATGATGTCCAATAGAAATTGATGCCACACTTTCTTCTTTTTATATTTCTTACGTCGTTGGCAAATTCTGCCGATGCGTTTGACAAACTGAACAATACAAACCCGAAGTAACGTGAATAAATTAAGTTACGTAACTTATCAAATAATAGCGCGCATTCGTACTTCGAATCTCACATTACACTCACTATCACAAGCAGGAGCAAGATAGCTATCCTCTGCGAATAACAATTTACATGTCGGATTAATTGAGTATAGACAGTTCGAATTTGGTGAAGAAACTAGACGCGCGACGGTCTCGGAAGGAAGAGCTCGTAGGACACGAAGACCGTACTTGAACTGGACAGTTGAATAGAAAAATGGTTGCTTTATAGGCTAGGCCTAATCAGAGGTCTGTTTTTTCCCTGGTCGCGGAAGTATGCACTTTTTTCCATGCACCATCGGGATATCGGCTTCGCTAATCATAGTACATCGGCCCGGGAGGCGGTCGCGCTCACTTCCGTCGTTGCGTCTCCACCGACGAGGTCTTCCTCTCTCCGGCATTTGGATTATTACGCGCACAACTCGGGCGAATATGTAATGCGAAACGCACGTGATGACAGACGAGAGTGACTTTCGTAAGGGACGTGAGTACCTAATCTTGTATGAACGCGTGGCAATTTTGTAACGTTGCAAATGACGAAATTACTTATTTTCTGGAGCTGTAGTAGATGGGTATTACGTTAGACGACGGCAATGACGAGTGGCCGCAGTGGAAGTTGATTACGGCGCGATTAAGCGATTACGCGTAAACGATCGGCGAAACTAGACCAAACGAGTCCACCGTTTACGCGTGAACTTCTTCTTCTTCCGGGTGCAGCAACCTCATCGATATCGAATCGTTATATACTTGGTAATACTTGGCTTTATTAAACCAATTGTTAAACTAGACGTAACTTCAGGCTAGTTATTTACTGATTTGTATCGTTAGCAATTGTATTATGCGCTCCGTAACAATAACAGAACTTGTCAAAGCAGTTTTCGTAACGTATCGATTTCAGGCGCACCAACGGGGTAACTCAATTCCTTGAGGAAAATTTTATGTCCACCGAGGTCCACCGAGCTTTTCTATAATTTCGTGGGAGAAACAAAATCACATCTCTTCGTTTCGAATACTTTTCATACGGAGCAGAATCGACTAAAGTGAAACTATAATAGTATACTGTATATAATATCCAGAGATTTATCTTGGTCACGACCGTGAACGTGATCTTGAGCTTCTAGCGGTAACAATGAGAACGAGTGTCAGTAATGAGCGATGGCATCCCGTTTCTCACGAGTACAAAGCAAGGACGCATTTACACCCGCTCATGTTAATGACAGGCTCTCACGACCGAGCCGAGTTGAAAGTGGCCGATTTAGCTTAGGGCATGCAAGATGGAAAGTCACTAAACCCGAGTCAGCGGATTCTACTTTACACGTTTTGAACAATTCACGTTATGCAACTAGCTAGGGCATAGTCGCTGTTAAATAATTGCTGACTGGCCACTTCTACATTCGGATATTTCGTTGGCACTTTCATTTAATGATTTATTACACAGATTTGTCTGAAATAATAAATTCCTACTTTAAAAACAAAAGACCGGGGTAATAAATAATCAAGCTACAGTAATGAACTCGGAATATTTTGAAAATGTCAGAACTGAATTTAGAAATGTTTCCAATAAGAAATTTAAATGATTGAAGCGATAAAAAGACGAATAAATAAAACGTCAAGAGTAGCCCAAGATAGCCTTCGAATTATTACAAAAAATCACGCGACGAAAGTACGACAATTTAAGATATTTCTTTAGCAACGAGAAGGTCCGGTTGCAGTCGATAACCTTTCACTTTTTGAAGAAAGGTTTATATAAAGCTTCGACGTACCACAATATATAATTAGGCCACAATCGAATGCAACGCCTGAAAAATGCAGGAAGAAATTCGGTTCAGTAATTATTTGGGATAAATACAGTTATAAAGCTAAAGATAGATATATAACATGTCAATATATGTTAGTCATAATTGTACACGTACGCAGTATTAAAAAGGTATTATATATACACAAATACATGTAGGTAGATTCTCGTTTACGATTTTTGGAATATAATTTTTTTATTTCGTGTGTGTGCGGAGAATTGCATTAATTACTATCTTATAAAATTTATATTTTTACCAAGGTACTTCCTAGTAATATTTAAGTAACTGTATGACACTAATAGCAGGACACGATGAACGACTCGATGTTGTTCAATCGAGCGCGATCAAATCGACGCGGAAAAAAAGAATGGAACATACGAGGCCGATGGACTTTCCATTGCACAAATGCACGGTCAGTGTGTCCTGTGCTGTCGAACGATTTGCGCGATTCGCAATATCGTGTTTGCAACGTGTTCTTCCGCCCAATCCTGGTAAAACTACAAAGATTTTTGCAACCTTAGATTTTGCACTTTTTGAAAGAGAAATAAAACCCTCGGAACATAATTACATAAATATATCAACTATAACTAGAAAATATAAATAAAACA